CCTTACCGAGGAAGAAAATTCAAACGAAATGAAGGCCTCAAAAATGAACCAAAAGAGAAGGACCCAATCATTTGCTATGAATGCAAAAAGCCTGGGCATGTCAAATATGATTGCCCATAATTGAAGAGAAAGGGTCAATCAATGAATAAGCACAAGGCTCATGTGGCTACATGGAGCGATGAAGAAGGTTCCGATGAAGAGAAACAAGAAGTAGCAAACTTGTGCTTAATGACATTCGGGGAAGATTCTAAGGTAACCTCTAACTCATCTAATTTTGATGATTTATCCTATGATGAGTTATTAGCGGAATATAATGGGCTGGCTTCGGATTATGAGAAATTGTTTTTAAAATATAAAAATGATATTTCAAAATTGAAAAATGAAAATAAACTCATATCCAAAACAAACAACGATCTTGAAAGTAAAATCAAAGATTTGCAAATCAAACTAGAAGAGTTTGAAAAGAAAATTTTGGATTTGAAAAATTTACTTTCAAAGGTCAATGGTGATCATCAAAAGAAAATTGATGATCTTAAAGCTTCTTTTGATAAAGTTGAAACAAAACATTTTGAAAATGGAGAAAATTCAAAATCCAACTTTGTTAGAAAAAGTTTTAAAAACTACAATCATAGAGGTCCCCAAAGAACCTCTAATAAAAAAATCGTTAGAAGTATATGGGTTTCTAAAGAGCTCATTACTACTAAAGATAAGGATATCCTACACAAATGGATACCTAAGGGGACTAGGATTTTGGAAACTAATGAATATGGACCCAAAAGAATTTGGGTACCAAAAATCAAGTAGGAAAAGGAGCATTTCTACAAGGCACGGGAAACAAATCTAAATTCATGGTACCTTGATAGTGGATGCTCGAGACACATGACCGGGGACAAAAACCGGTTCATAGAGCTTAACGCCAAAAATGGAGGAGAAGTGACTTTTGGTGATGATTCAAAAGGTCACATTGAAGGTATAGGTACAATAGGTAATACCTTTTCCATACAAATTAAAAATGTGTTATATATGAATGGATTAAAGCATAATCTCTTGATTATTAGTCAATTATGTGATAAGGGATTCAATGTCATATTTGAAACTAATGGTTGTAAAGTCATTGACATTGCATCTAATAGGATTATGCTTGTTGGTTATAGAATAGGAAACATATACATGGTGCATTTAGACTCTATAGAAATGACTAATTTATGCCTAGTTGCAAAGGATGAGCATGATAGTTGGTTATGGAATAGGAGACTAGGACATGCTAGCATGAGTGTTTTGCAACGGTTAGTTCAAGGAGAATTGGTTCGAGGGCTGTCTAAACTAAAATTTGATAATGATAAAATATGTGATGCTTGTGCTAAAGGAAAACAAAAGCGAGTTTCTTTTAAATTCATTAATGATGTGTCAACTAGTAGAGTATTACAATTGATCCATATAGATCTTTTTGGGCCAACTAGGACTACTAGCTTGGGTGGAAAACAATATGCATTTGTCTTGGTAGATGACTACTCTAGATATACTTGGGTTATATTCTTAAGTACTAAAGATGAATCATTAGAAAATTTCATCACATTTTCAAAAGTAATCCAAAATGAAAAAGGTTACTCTATCACTAGTGTTAGAAGTGATCATGGCACTGAATTTGAAAATCTTGGACTTAATGAGTTTTGTAATTCTAATGGTATTAGCCATAATTTTTCAGCACCTAGAACCCCTTAACAAAATGGAGTTGTTGAGAGGAAAAATCGAACTTTAGAAGAAATGGCTAGAACCATGCTTTGTGAAAATAATTTGCCAAAATATTTTTGGACGGAAGCCACAAATACCGCTTTTTATGTTGTAAATCGAGTAATGATTAGGCCAATTTTAAAGAAAACTCCATATAAAATTTTCAAAAATAAAAAGCCTAACATTAGCTATTTTCATCCTTTTGGATATAAATATTTTGTTTTAAACAACGGTAAAGAAAACCTTGGCAAATTCTTTTTCAAAATTAAAATTCTTTTAATTTAATTTGTTATATCGAAACATCAAAATGTTTTCAACAGTTAATATCATGGCCTTCAGGATATAGGGCCTCTTTTCTCAGATCATTCTGGCAGGCTTAGCCCTACAATCAATTTATCAGGCTCCCACTGTACTGATTTCAGTTTTTTTAATTGTTAAAATATTTCTTCCATGTGGTGTCACGTGATTAAGAACACTGCATCAAATCCTCCATGAAGAAATTTCATGTTTATAAAAATGCTTAAAAATGAAATGTAGATGCAAAAATGCATGAAATGCTCGAGACATTGATCCGAAAACATGTCTGATATCATAAATAATCCTTATTGGGGACAAAAGTGTTTTATCTTTTAAGAGACAAAAATATCCTGACAGCTTCTGACATGTTGACTAGTCTTCAGCCTTCGTCTGTCACCGGTTGAATAACATGTCGAACCGCTCCGGCTTCTCTGGATGAACCGTGCAAATGTTGAGTTACTTTTTGTACTGGTCCTAGAAGTCTCGAATCACTGCATCTATGGCATTCATATTTTGTTGAATATGTTCCCAACGAATACGTCATTGAAGCCCTCAATTGATAGGAACTATGCGAAGTTCATTTGTCTGTTTCTTGAATTCGTCAACAATGGTCTCCAATTTCAGCTATCGTTTTACCATTGTTGTCTTTGAAGGGACTCCTAATATTAGTAACCTTCATCTTGCCCATGCAACCTCTACCAGTTAGTTCATCAAAGATAAACTTTTGTTGTGCTTGATGTAGACCCGGCTCATTTTGAGTCCTTTATAATGCAGCAGAGTGATATACTCTTCAATTGTGGGCACCACGTCTTCTGGATTGAATATGACACATAGTCGACTTGTAGATTGTCCTCTGCATTTTTCATCTCTTGTATTACAACCTCTTTGTCTATTAAAACAAATTATTTATGTTTAACAAACACGTTTTTAGTGTATCAACACCTCTTTTGAATGATGCAAATGATGAAAAAATAAAAAAATGAAAAGAGTTAGTGAGGTAAAGATAATAATAAAAAACAATCATGAAAATAAAAGTCCTACCCCACATGCTTATTATTCCTACCCGGGATTGATCTCTATCCTGCATGCTAATTTCAAACAAATCCTAACCGCATATTTGTCTAGTTCGTATGCTTTGAACATAAAGTAAAGCAGAAAATAATTCAAGCATCCTAGGTTTTGAAATGAGGTTTTGGGGTGGACTCTAATTCCCTATACTCTCACGGTTTAGGTTCTAAAAAGGTACCCGAGTTCTCCTTGCTGGTGCCACTTTGGGCTTGCCAGACCCTTTGTCCTAAGCCCATTACAAGCTTATGTGGACTAAGTTAAATTCGAGAGGAAATATTCCCTTATTTCCGTACGGTGAATAAATTCACACGAAGACATAAGGTATATGAATCCCGAAGGTTACTTGCTAGGCCCACACGGAGAATAAATTCTCACGAAGGTGTCGCTTTCACCCTCACTTAAAAAGGGTTTAGAGCTTGGGTATAAAGCCTGTTGAAAATATTTTGATATTTCGATATAACAAATTAAGTTAAATGAATTTTAAGATTTTCCAAAAGATTTTCTAAGTATATTCGATATAATTATTCGAATATCAAAATATTACTCCAAATCTTTCAAATGTCATTTTTAATCGATTTCCTATGAGGGGGTACCGATTCCCCCCACGCTCCAAGTTGTTTTATTAATTGATTCTCATCTCCAAACGGCTCCAAAACATCCCCAACAGCTATATACGACTTCAAATACATTCCAAGCTATAAATACAAGCTAAGGACACTTGAAGAAACAAGTGAACAACCATCCAAGCAATCAAACACAAGAGAAGAGTTTTTCATTCTTATTTCATCTTTCTTTTGTAAATATTTTGTTCTTGTGAGCTTAATTCTTGTAAACACCTACCTTAGAGAGGTTTTCTTGTTTACATTTCTTATCCTTTTGTAAATGGGAAAGATTCTAGCTAATCCCGTGTAGAAGCTAGGGAAAGGTTCTAGTTTAGCCCGGAAAAACTAGGGAGTTTGTAAGGTTACTCTTTATCCTCAAAAGAAAGAACAAATTAGTGAATTTGTTGGAAAATCCTTGGTGAGGAGCTAAGGTACTGGACGTAGACTTTGGTTGAGAAAGTCAAACCACTATAAATCGTTGGGCAATTCTCTATCTTTCAATCTCCTTACTCCCTAAACACAAAATCGTTCCGACCCCTCTTTGTAAATCGTTCCGATTATCGATTCAAGCTTCCAAAAATCCTAACAGAGCCTGAGATGAAAATTTTGAAAATCTGAAATCATTGAAAAAATGTTAGTACAACTATTTATATGAAAAAATAATCAAAGACAAATAATTAGAATCGAATAAATAAATTAAAACTTAAATTTGTAATTTTCGCTCAAAAAGACAACCGGAAATTAATTTCGACCTGACTCGCTTACCTGTCCCCAGCGGAGTCGTCAAGCTGTCGGAGTCGCCAAGCTGTCGGAGTCGTCTTTCGGGTGGGCCCCGGAGTTGGGCTACTACTTGTATTAAACGAATTGGAGTTGCCACCGACCATTTTAAAAACATATAGGTAGATCGGACACCATTTTACTTGATTTGTGTTTTACCATAAACGTGTCAGATTCGGGAGTCGATTATGGTCAATGAAGGATTAACACCCTTGAACCGCCCTTTCGGTACCAATTAATTTATCGGTTATCTTTAATTGCGAAATTTAAAATTTAAAAATTTGATTCGAATTAATTTTGATCGATTGAAAACATCCCTAGAAAGTTAAAAATGTTAGATTATAAAAAATAGAAATAAATATGAAAAAAAGAAAAAAATATTAATATAATAATAATAACAAAATAAATACAATAGATAATAAAGATAAATAAAAGTTAGTAAAAAAGGGAAAAATAAAAAAACTAAAAAACCAAATACACGTGTGTTACATGCAAATGGGTTTAGCTATTAAAACATGATCCCATTTATAATATATTTAAAGGGTAGTGGATAGTAAGCCCATCATATGTATTGAGGTATATACCTTTCTGGCCAAATTGGACAGATCGAACCTTGCACAGCTTAAACTTGCTTTCATCACCAGTGATGGCATAAAGACGAATACGTCCTTTGGTGTCATAAAGGAGACGGAAGTCCTCATTTGTTTTAGGAATGGACACAACATCCATGAAACCACCAGGATAGGTCTTATCCGTGCGAACCTTCTCATCCACCATAACATTTCTCTGCATGAGAATAGCAACAACTTCTCTGTATGTGAGAGCATACTTCAATCTGTTACGGATAACGAGAATCAGTGGCAAGCATTCCCTGGATTTGTGTGGTCCAGATGATGGCTTTAGTGCAAAGGCACCACCCAGTTTGTCTAGCATCCAATGCCTAGGGGCATTGAGCCTCTTCAAATGTTTCTTCAACTCTCTAGCCATCCTGGTGAAATACGACTGATTTAGCTCAAAGGCTGGTTTCGATGGTAGACCGCTTTTGAAAGAAGATGGTGTGTGATGCTAGTAGAACCCCCCCCCCCACTCTCTCCATTTCTCTCTCTCTTTCAAGAATCAAACAGAAAAAAAATAAAGTTTGGATATAAGTTTGTGGATCTGAGACTAAGAATGTTTGCCTTCGCTTGGTCTCCCCCTTTTAGTTAGGTTAATGGAAAGAATTTATAGACTTGTGCAGGAAGACAGGTGTGGGAAAGTGGTTGCCTTGGAAGTGGAGAAATGGGGACAACGTGGTTGAGATAATGGTGGGGGTAGTGGTGAGATATGGTGGGTGGTTGGATGATTTTTTCTTTTATTTTTAGGAGTTTTGTGAGATGATGGGGTTGAACATGGCCCTATAAAATGATTAAAAATTAATAATAATAATAATAATAAATAAATAAATAATAATTTTTTAAAACTCAAAAAAAATGGGTGTCTACAATAGGATCAGATTTTATCATATCCTAGTCATCATGTTAACATGTAGCTCAAACGGTTGCCATTTATTAATGGAAAATGATAAGTTTGAAACAAATTAATAGTTGAATGAACATTTTGTAACTTTTAATAGACGAGACACTTAACAAATTAGCATCCTATAACCGATGAGTCATTTTGTAACCTTATAGTTGATGGACTATTTGTATATTTTATCCTATAAAATTTATAGTATTAAAATGATTAAATTAATAAAATTAGAGGACAAAAATTATTTTGCCAGTTCTAAAATTATAACCATCTATAAATTTAGAAGGCTGATATATTAAAAAAAAACTCTTGTACTATTTTTGTAGTTATATAAGCCCCTAATCTATATTTTTATCCATAAAATCTCTTATTTAGCCATTGAAACTATTGAGAATAACTTACTTTTGCTTATTTAGTAAATATGAAAATTGATTTTTTAACTTGATAGTTTAAGTATTTTAATCATATGCATTTTAAGATACTTTTTAATCATTAAAAATATGACAGGTGTAAAAGTAAAAATAAATTAAGGGCTTTTATGAGTATAAATAATAGATTAGGGGCTTATTTAACTACAAAAAAATAAGGGTTTGTTTATATAAGATGTGAATTCAAGGGCCCTTTCAGTATATTAGCCAATTTTAAAAATTATATGCTCTTAAATAAGAAATATTCTTAAAAATAAACCAACTTGTGAAATGAATATTTTATTTAAAAAAAACATTTCAGGAGATAAATTGTTACTTAAAAAATGGAGCATATATTTTAAGACTTAATTTAAAAATACTTGTATAAACTGTATTATTTTTTATTTTATGTATTTGAATTTTTATTTTTATTAAAGTAGATATTTAATTTTTTTTATATTTTGATATCTAAATTATTTTTTCAAGGTATTTATTTAATGTATATTAATTGTTTTATCTAGGTACTTAAAATATCTTTTAATTAAATTTAGGTATTTTGATGAAAATATTATATACTTTAGGTAAATATTTTGGCAAAAAAATTAAGTATCTGAATTAAAAAAAATAAATACTTTAGGTATCTATTTGGATAAAAAAAATACATTAATTACTTAGATAAAAAAAATAAGCCCGTTTTTTAACAAGACTAAATTGTTTAGGGGTAAACTATACATTTAACACCTAAACTATTATTTTTGTTTCGTTTTGTTATCTAATTTTTTTTCAGAATCATACCTAGCGTTTAGTTTAAGTTTCATTTTGGTACTTGTCGTTAAAAATTTAACGGTGATGTTGACGTGAGCATAAGCTAATGCCACATAATCATTGAAAAAATAAAAAAAATGCTACATGAACATCTCTATTAATTTTTCAAAGGTGATATATTAAATTAAAACTTAAACTAAACATTAGTTATAGTTTTGAAAAAAAAGTTTAGGTGCCAAAATGGTACAAAAGTAATAATTAAGGTACTAAACATGTAGTTTATTCAATTATTTGTTATCGTCTTACATAGAAGGGTTAACTATTGGATTGGTCATTTACCTTTTATATTTGTACATTTTTTCTCATCAAATTAAAAAAAAAGTTAAGTTTTGATCACTTACTTTATCAATTTATTAAATTTCAGTCACTTACATTATCAATTGTTATAATTTGGTCACTGGGATGTTAACTCCTGTTAACTTGATGATGTGGCACATAAGTCAAAAGGGGTTAACTTTTAATTTGACCCCTAAACTTTAGATGAAGTATCATTTTGACCCTAAACTTTAGATAAAGCATCAATTTAACCCATGAATTCAATCAAAATCTCTCGTCATCGTTCGTCACTCACCATCATTGTTACCGACCACCATCAGTCACTATTGTCGGTGATCGTTAGACCCTAAGTTTATAGTTCACTCAATTTTTGCCTCATGAAAGTGAATCTGGTATCCATTTCACCAAAAATTACCTCTAATTCAATAAATATAGCATAGAACTATTTGATTCCTTTAAAATTAAATCATACTAATAAACGTATCATATATACTCCATACAACTAAATCTATATCATGATCAAATCCATAAAGTTTTTGCTATTAATATTGATATGTTATAATTTTTCTATGTATATAATATTAATTATATATTTTTTAATATTTATAAATATTAAAGATGTAACAAAATTTAATATTATATATTTCTTAATGTATGGATGTTAGATAATTGTGTATTATTTAAATTTTAATTTGTATTTAAAGAAATGGTTATTAATTAAAAATCAAATAAAAAATTATGATTATATAAATTTTATGAATTATTATTTATAATTTGATTTTACTATGTTTTATAATATTTATAATATTAAAATGAATTAATACAAAATAAAAGTTAACTTTTGGAAATGATGATGAAAGTTCAATCTAATTCTTTTTTTTTCTTTTTTCTTTTTGGATTAATTTGGGGTAAGTACAAGGTAGTATCTGTTCAAAGATAATTGTCAACCACATTGATCACTCGTACCCCTAACATTGATTTGTTCAAAGGTAGTATCTAGAAGTTAATCTAATTCTAATATAAAGTAAACTAATTCATAATCATAAAATAATGTATTTGATAGTTGTATGGGTAAAATAGTGAGATTAATTTTTGTAACTATTTGAATCAAATCTTATCAAAAAATTGAGAACTTTTCATTGACAATATCTAATAAAGTATATAATGCAAATATATAAAAGAGTAGCATGAACCAAGAGACCTCGGTGGTAAAGGAATTGTTGTTGTTTCTTGAGGTATTGGGTTAAAGCACCATGAATGTCAAAGGTATGAGCGTTCAATGTCAAATGTTTGAAATTTATCTTTAAACACATACTACTTTGTACTTACACCAAATTAATCAAAAAATATATATAAAATAGTCTGAAAGATATTGTTAGTTTAAAGATTATAAAATTCATAAAATAATTTTATAATTTATAAATATTAAAAACTTATAATTACTATTATAAATACAACAAAATTATAACAATATTACATATGAAAAGTATGAATTTGATCATGATATAGATTTAATATTTTATTTTTTTATTTTAAAAGAATATTAATGATGATTTATTTTAAAAGGAAGTCGAAAGGTTATATACTAAATTTCTTGAGTTCAAAACATTTTATGATGAAACAAATATTGGATTCATGCTCATGAGGCATAAAAGGAGTGACCTTAAAATTTTGAGGTCCAACGATCATCGACAATAGTAGCCGAAGATGATCGACGATGATGGTGGTGAGTGGCAGCCGATGATTGGGGTTCTAGTCAAATTCAGGGGGTCAAATTGATATTTAATCTAAACTTTAGAGGTCAAAATAATATTTCAGCTAAAGTTCAAGGTCAAATTAGTATTCTACCAAAAGTTCATAAGTCAAATTAAAAATTAGCCTCTTTTGAATAACATGGCATGTCATCAAACTAATAAGAGTTAACGACTTAGTGACTAAAATATAATGATCAATAATGTAAGTGATCAAAATTTAATAAATCGATAACGTAAGTGACCAAAACTTATATGTCTTAAATTTAGTGAATAAAAGTGTACAAACATGAAAAGAATTTGATAAATTCCATAGTTTACCCTACAATTGATCATCGAACTATTTTTTTTTAAAGTCAAATTATGTAGGTGGTGACATTTGAACATTAATTCTGTAACTATCTAAATTTTTCGAGTCGATAATATAATTTTGTCTCAAGTTATTGAATAATCGATTTAAATATGAATAGTTTGATTCATTATGTAAGATTTGAGCCTAATCAAGTAAGAATCATATCTAATTACTTTTGAAGATGATCACTTTAAATTAGAAGTCACATAATACAGATAAAAAAATACAGTTTTTCTCATGAAAGAAATCAAATTAGATTTCTCCTTCAATGTTTGAGAGAAAATGTGGGATTTAGGGGACGTTAGTTTAGAGTAATTAAGAGCATTTGGGTGAGAAAAGTTATCTTTATCATCCTTAGGGACATTATTTGTTCATTTTTTATTACATATTTTTTTAATAACTATGTTTTTATGGTACGTTTTCCTCTGTCTTTATGGTATGTTTTCATTCATTTGGACGTTGTTTTTGTTTATCTTTTTCTCAGGGTTGGATTTGGCAGCCTTAATGACTGATCAAGATGGTGCTTATTTGTTACAATGTTGATCTTTCATGCTTTGGATCATCATATTTGATTTAGATACACAAATTGCGTTCGTAGATCATTTTCTCACGTTGTTTAACTTTAATTTACAATTTGTAGATGGTCTTTCAGTAGCTTCATCCACTTTTGTGGTTCGTTTACATATGCAATCAAATTTGTTCGTATCTATCTTTTGTTTGAATTTTATTGTTAAGTTTTAAATTTTTTTCCTTGTATGGTCTCTGTATGATATGAAGTGACTAGTTTCTTGTGTCAATAATTATAATAAAAAATTTTATTTATTTATTTAATTTACAATTATGTTTGTAAACTTCTATTATAATTTTAGATATTTTCTATTATTAATAAAATTAGCGATTTTTATAAAAAAAAATTATTTTTCAACAAAAGCTACAATAATAACAATGAACCTTCATGCCTTCTTATTTTACTAATAAAAGGTCTAAAACTATGGTTCATTAGTTAATTACTATGATGAAGACTTAAAATTTGTCCCACGGGACAACAAATATTATATTTATTGTGATTTAATGCAACAACCAAATCATTTAATTAATTTCAATTATTGCAAAACACATATGATAATCATCAAAATCTTTGTTGAGAATCAAGTTTTTAACATTCTTCATTTATACAATTACATTTTAAATATAATATTTAACAAATTCGATATTTAAATTTAGTGTTGAGTGTGACCCGTGATCTAAATAGTAATTGTGGTTGTATTTTTGATCACAATGTATTTATCACGGTAGTGAATATATCAAAATGCATTGTGTTTATCATTGTATTTTTAATTGTCACAATGGACCGTTGGATTCTGTTCTTTAATTTTTACAGTAATGGAATAATAACGGAAATAACGACTCACTATTGATGCATTGGTCGTTACCTGTTAAATTGTAGCCTCGATCGATCGTTATTGGTGTGATTTCGTCTCACGCTATTATTTTTGACAGCAAACAATTTTATATAACGTCGTTATCATTATATAATGACTGCTATTCCATTACCGCTATTTAAATCATGTGTGGACCATAGAGGTTGAGGTCCATGTTGGCTTTCTTTGCTTAACACTATCATGATTTTCCCCTTAAAACTGTCACTGGTCCACCCCATTTTCCCCATGTGAGCTGTGATTTCCCACATAAAACCCATCCCCAAAAAAAAAAACACCATAACTTATGGCCATGGATACACTAGCAGTCTCATTGAGACAAATTTGATGTAACTTGGACTAGGGTTTTCCTCAAAATATATGAACACTTAGGTTAGTCAAGGTTATAATAATGATGATATGATGTTTTGCGATCAAATTAATAGGGTGTTGGGGTGATAAGGAGGATGGATTGAGAGGACGAATGGAAACAATCGTTTCAAGATTTTCATCTTTTCTGAAACTTTATAAATTCGTCGTCATAAAATTTTTAAAATTTGTCCCATATATATATATACATACATGATGACAAGCTAATTTTGATGTCCACATGCAAATTGTTAGTCCCAATTGGGAAAATCATTTCACTACTCTTTATTATATGGTTAATTTGTTTAGGGTAAAGTACAAAAAAGATCACTTAACAATGTTTAAATAATTTTTTTGATCGTTAAACTTTCAAAAATTATAAAATGGTCATTAAATTTATTATAATAATTGTAAAAATCTAATAAATTTAATGATCGTTTAGTAACCATTCGATAAAATTAATGACCATAATGTGACTTTTGAAAGTTCAATGATCAAAACAACCATTTGAATATATTTCAGTGACCTCAAGTGTACTTCATCCAATTGTTTAAAAGCCTTCAACTATTTCACTTTTCTTAAATATGTCAGTCCTTTGGTTTTGCCTAAATAAACCGATATTTCAAATCAAAAGGTTAGAGGCTTATTTGGGTATAAGTTAAAGGTTAAGGACTTATTGGACTTAATTTTGGATTAGTAAAAGTATAGGGACTTAAATAATAAGATGGTAAAGTTCGGGGGGTTTCTATTATTTTACCATTATTTATTTATTGAGGCAAAGCTATTGCACCAAGGACAGTTGACATAAGCAAGAAATTCTAATCAGAATATATCAGAAAATCTTGCAATTAACATTTAAATTTGATTTCACTTGTATAGACTCCTTCAAATGTGAAGAGTTGCTTGTAAAGGCAAGAGAACATATAAATTGACCAAAAGTGTTACCTCATCATTTATGGAAATATTCACGTGCGACAGTCTTAATATACGCTTAAAAAAAGCATTATCAATTTTGTTATTATTTAAATAATAAAATCGGTAAAAAAATTTCGGAAACATTATTATTTCTACCGATTTTGTTATTATTGGGCGCTTTATCATTTTGTTATTTTTTCTACCAATTTTGTTATTATTGGGCACTTTTACCGAAAATGTTAAAAAATTGATATTTTAGATAAAAATAATAATATTTTAAATAATTTTTATCGATTTTATTATTTAAATAATAATAAAAACTGGTAGCGTCTTATTTTAGTTTTATATTAAAGTGTCCCACCGTATAATTTTCCCATCATTCAAGAGCTCAAAAAGTAGTTTCTTTGATGACTGATCCATCCCATGGAGTAATAAATGATGGCATTGCCAAGTGGAGGGTCAATATTTCCGAGCAAACAACTCACAGGTGATCGTATCTTCTGTGCACGCAGCGGATCTTCCGGCACCTAGGACTGGAACAAGATTGAAGATAGGTTTCCCGTCGACTTTGGCACCGCCATTCATCTGATCAAGTTCCTTGAATGCGTCCTCGAACAAGCTCGATATTGTCTCCAATGGCACATGGAGATTTTGTGGGATGTAGAGTCTCAAAATCTAGAAAAAAGAATGGAGGAAATAGACGTGAGGAACTCCAGGAACCAATAATCAAAATCTAGCATTATGAAGATTTCCTGGTGAAAATCATTTTCCTAACCACAGTTCAACAGGATACAACTCTATTACAATCAATGTTGAAGGAAATTTTGGCACTTGCTTAAGAAACTTACCATGGTATCTTTCCAGGAGAAACCATTTTCAATAGCAGTTTTGTCAAGAAGATAGATGCAAAATCTAGATATTCTTTTCATTTGGTTCTCCGTGAGAGAATTCTGGTGATTGCTGTTGCTCCGATCGGCATTCATAGAATCAGAACAAATCTTCATTGCCACTACACTTGTGATAGTCAAAGCCATTGAACATATCTTTCCGTGAATGACACATTTCTGAATACATGAATCGTGCCAATCTGCAGGTTGAAAACCGAAAGAACTTGGTGCCACGGTGCTAGAAAGTTCACAGGAGGTTTCTTCGGGTGTTTCTGCAGTCTCCGGGACATAAAGAATCGGCTTTACTTCTACAAGTGCTCTGCAATATCAGAAACCAAAGATGATGAACAGCCCTTCTGTTGGATGCAGCACATACTATTACTTCGTCGATTACTCATCGAGTACGAAAAGCAAACACAAATTCAAGGTGAAAACTTCCTTCTCAGCATACTTATTATTCATTGAAAAAGTTCAGAGTAAGTGTGGATCGTTTACCTTTTTGGAAGTATAAAAATGTTTCAAAAAGGAACCTTCCCTGATTGATGCCAATTGCCATTATTAGAAGTACCTGACTATAAGGTCCAATGCAACTTGGTGCCCAACATGAAATACTTTGAACATGCAAAACTCTTTTGCTCTGATCATTGGCAACTAGAACTTCAATATACACTCTCCCTAAACCTGCTTGAACTAACGGCAGTTCGATAGTACTTCGTGACTGAACACCAAAAGGGCATTCGTCTTGGGTGATAAATCTCACGTATGTCTCATTTGCCCGAGTGAACTGATCCATGTCAGAAATGTAGAGATGGATATAAAGCACACGCTCCCAACCGAAACCACAGCCTGCAAGTTGCAACTCGATTTGCCTAAGGATCAGCTTCAGATCTTCCTGCAAATCTATCAAACAAAAGGTAATTGAAAACAGAATGTAGTGTTGTATTTGGAAACAATGGTTAAATAGAGGGAAACAATATGTTTCATGGAATGATAACAGCAAATCTGAAAAGGTCTTTTCTTTTTTGTACCTGCTGACTGTCCTGATGGATCTTGCAACCAACAACACATAGAAAATGTATTATTGTTTTCTGTTTTAGAGAGGTGAAGGTTATAACTTGAAACTTCAATCAAGTCGCTAACTTCAGGAACAGGCCAGAGAAACAACCATTATGCCTTCATCACCCGGTGTCTTTCGGTAGCTAAGTTTCTTGGAGAAGCAACGATTGATCTTGTTTCCACAAATATGCCAGAGAAACAAGCCCTAATCTTGAACAAACACTTTTTAGTCATAGCCTTTGATAATCTGCTGCAATTGCACCAGAAGAAACTGCTGTGACAGAAGGTATCTGCTTCTTAACTTCATTTAACAAAATAAACATATCTTCGACTTCATCACCCGGTGTCTTTTGGTAGCTAAGTTTCTGGTGCCTACAATAGTCGCCAAAAGCTTCAGAAAAGAAATTGCGTATAATGTATCCACCAAGATGGAAGGGAATATGCTTGGCTGAAAACTAACTGGTCCAAGAAGCAGCCTATCGGGAGATCATTTTTACCAAACATAAAGTAAATTTCTTCATGATATGCCTATTAAAAGTAGATTAACAAATTCTCTATGTTGTATCCCAACCATTACACAGTGAAAGAAAAATGTATGACTTGCCTAGAAGCATCATAATCGGTACAATCTGGCAACCAAATCATAATTTAGCTTCTAACATTTTTTTTTGTCAAAATAACTCTTTTGGATGGAAATCGTTAATTGGTGACGTGGTATTTATATATATATGCTTAATTAGTGATGCGGTGGATACAACATTTTCACTTTACGTGAAGTGACACATATCATGTCATCAATTAAACATATGTGAAAATATCACATCAACAACATATGTCAACCATTAGTCAACTAACGATTTTCATTCAATAGGGACTATTTTGATAAAATTTGAAACGTTAGAGTTAAAATACTCCAAAAACCGAATATGGAGAAAATAACCATTTATACAGACAGGTTAATTTTATCATTATGTCGTTAAAAAAATATAAATCTCCATGCATCTGATATAAGTTGTAATGGTTGGGTGCAGTTAAATAATAGTATTATTCTAGTTTGTAAGGGAACCCTTTTTCAGATATAGAATGGTTGGTGTTTGAAAGTCATGCTTATAGTCTCTTGCTCTGCTTATTTACTCATTTCGTGGATGGTGTTAGTTTTAAGTTAGCTTTTTCTAATGGATTTGGTAAATTTAATTGGTCAACTTGTTCATGTAATCTTCTGTTTGTGCATGCTAAATGCTTAAAAGGATTAAGCGAAATGCTAAGCTAAACAATACTAAAACTAGGGACATGGATGAGCAAGGGCGGATGCATTAAGTCTCTACTATCTTACCTTCCTCTTACCCCATTGCATATGGGAATAAGAGTCAGCTAAAATTACTTTAGAAAAATGATTAAATTTTATTTAATGTGTTAAGGGAAAAAATATTAAAAAAAATTGTATACCCATTATTTTTAAGTAAAGAATATTAAAATTGTGTACCTCATTCTTAAATTTTTAGATATACTACTGTTGATGAGAGAATCATACAACATTCAATTCGAGCAGCGAAAATAAACAAAATATACAAGAACGGACGCAGAATTTTATGTCAGAAGATGAACTTTAAAATTTTAGAAAATGACGAACTTACAAAATTCTAAGATGACGAAAATAGATCATCAATCGAACACATTATTCAAGTCTAGAATGAATGAGATTAGTGTCATTAGAAAGAAATTAGCTACATATGTGCACACTTCAACTAAGCCTGGAGTGAAGTCGAGGTTACAGACATTATTCTCGTCGACATAAAATAAGCCCATGTTTCTCACCTTTAACCAGTGATTCTTTTCTTTGAGTCGGGTTTGAATTTAAGGTGAAAAATACTTAACCCAACCCTAAAATATATAATTTTACCTTATATATTTAAATATAATTACAATAATACCCCTCTATATATTATTTTTCATTTAAATCACTATTATTATTGAATAAAAATCATAGTTTTTTTATTTCGGATTAAGTCGAGTCGGATCAGGTTTTTAAGATATAAATTGGGTCAGGTTCAGGTCGGGTGGAATCTTGTTTTGATCAGGTCGGATCGAATCTCAAGTGGAGAATTCCTTGTTCTCAGATCGGGAAGACCAAAAACCCGACCCAACCCGTCACATACCCATCCCTTTTTCTATCAACCAAAAAATCCTCTAGATTGGTAATCATTTGATCAATAAAAATATTTCATCAATAAAATTTTATACATGCATATTTTCTTTCACCCACATACTCTGCATGACAATCTAATTAAGTTTGATTTCAATTTGAGTTTAAAAAAATTAAAAAATAAATAAATATAAATACTACACATAAACCCTAAAACATGATCACCTTTCGCCAACAAATGTTTCTACAAAGATTACCTTTCCCAACTGATTTTGGTAGATGATTACATGGTGCATCTAACAACATGCTACAACATATTTAAACACGATTAACGTATTTAAATACGATTACCGCAACACATGTTGAACACACATTGTATTCGTATCCGAATAATCGAATACTAAATTTTTTGAATATAGCTACCTTCCCTTCCATCCCAGGAGAAATTTTGTTCAATGATTATACATACTCTAGCACGTCCACATGATAATCCCCTCCTCTTTGTTACTTTCAAACCAAACCAGCTTACAACAGATATGCAAATTTAGTTTTCCACATAAATGCTACAACATTCATCCATAAGAACTAAAATCAATTGCTAGATAATCAAACCAAGACTCTTACATGATTAGAGAACTAACGCGACAATCCTACACTTAAACCATACCACTAAAATTACTACTAAATGAACCAACCTGGACCCCAGAGAGGAAAATATGAACTTAGATCGTATCCTAGAAATCAAGAAACAAAAGGATATTAAAATGTTCTGAGCTTTCTTATACCTGGATTTCGATTACAGTCTCCCAGAAAAACTCGTTCGTATGAAAAATTGTTTAGATAAAGCTGGCTCCAATGGCATGATTCATCTTGTTTTTTTTTTTTTTTCAAATAATGCATTCAAAGGCCTGGAAATCCTTCACTGGTGCATCAAGTGTATGTCCCAGAAGGACAAGCCCGAAATTTTCCTCCAATGAGTTCCAATGTATCTTCCTCGTCCATCAAGGCAACATTCTCTTTCCGGTGCCCAACATAGAAGCATGTTGAGCTCTTCTCTGAGCACCTGTAGAGATATAACAGATAATGAGAAAAAAAAAGTAGTGAACAGACATTTGCAGTTAAGTTTTCAAGATCTTGGTTGCTCGATTATAAATGTTTTGCAGTCATTTAGCTTTGATTCTTTGATTTGGTGCACTTGTAAAATAGCCGGTGCACAACTGCACACATGCATTGGGCACTACATTTTTTTATGTGATCTAATTTTCTTTTCCTTTTTCTTTTCGGTCAAAGCCATAACAACACAACGTGAACTGACAAGCTTACCTTATTCAACTTAGAAGGGAGCCTCAAGTGATTCATCCCAAACTTCTGCACTTCCATTAGAGGCCTCTTCGACATCATCTTCCATTGAAAGCCTAATATATTCTCTATGTGCAAATCGGTCCCACTCTGTCAATGTAGGGTTCTCACGCTCCTGTTTGTTCCGATATAAACAATGCTGTTATCCAAAACTTGCATAGAAATATGATGGTTTACAATTCCCGGTAGCGGTAATATTAAAGGAGCTAAAGTATCACATTTACCTGACGAATGAGGAATGGATCACGAGTCTCAAAGGCCATGAATTTGTTAAGATTAAAAAGGATGTTGAAAACACTTCCCGAAAGTTTAGAACCTTTCAGGTCACGCAATGTGACATACCTCTCATCCTGCAAATGAGAAAGCTTTGGTAGCTGAACATGTAAAACAATCTATCTTCATTTGCAGTGTGTAGGAAGGAGAATTCAATGAACACTCAGGACCTAAAAGCCCAAACCAACATATGGTAAAAGCAGTTCACAGTATAATTAGCTCATTAGATCACACTAAATGATCTTATTACGAAGCAGCCATGAGTTACCTACTTCCGGAGGAGCACGAGAAGAGATTAAACTCAATTTGCCAGAAACTTACCCTTATAAAAACAGAAATCTCTAAGTTTGAAATTACAAGCAGATCTTAGCACAACATAGTATTCTGATTCATTTTCCGTGAGCACACTCCAATAGGCACCATATTGAACAGACAAGAAAATAAAAAGAGTGCAAGATAAGATGACGAACCTCCGGTTTAATCATGTCAATTATTTGACATAAGATGTCCTCAAAGAGCACGGGCTCCTGTCCCATGCATTCCATTCGATGCAACTGCTCCTCATAAAAGAATTGCATTTCGTTACGTGTTAGAATCCCATTGCCATCCAAATCTATACAGTTGAACCTAGAAAAGGAAAAAACCACGTTAGAAAAACTAGCCAATAATAATAAATACTTGGAACTCCAATCTTATTTTGATCGTCCAAAAGCTCCACCCCTTCAAAACACGCTGCTTTTTTCTCACCCTCAGACAGCAGCAGCAGAAAATTATGGCATAATTATACAGATGCTAATGAATCATTTACATCAGTTTTTCTTTAAGCAAGATTCCCAATCAGTAGCTTCTGACAATATTTTCAGAATTTTAGGTGAGGAATGCAAAAAAAAAATGTTATTTCAAATATTTTGGGGGCTTGTTCAAACAAGTGAATTTATACAATAAGAAGAGGTATATTTACTTCCATCACTAAGAAGGTAAACTTCATATTGATAATCCGTGAACAAAATCCAACATAATACCCTTGACTCAACAGAGAAAGAGCACAAACATACCAGTACTCAAGACTAGGCTCAGATGACTTGTCCTCCTCTGCAAGGATAAAGTAAACAAAATCTTCATACCCCATCTTTCCTTCAATATTACTGGTAAACTTTCTTGGAACCTAAGATAGGATGGAAGCAATAACATGAGTGAAAGTTCCAAACTTGTGAATAAATTAAATCAATCAATGACACAGAAAAAGTGATAGAAAAGGAAAGTGGAATAGACAAAGTTCAATTAAATGAAAAGCTTCTTCTGCATATAGAATGTAGTTTGGACCAAGGAACAAAAATGGCATCTGACTCAGACAAACCTGAGAAAATATCCTATCAACAATCCGGTAGGTAAGCGCGTGGTTACCATATCTGATAAGGTTCTCGTTGTCAATCAAGAAATCATGATCCGTATCCAGCTCCCAAAACTTGCAGTATATCACGTAAAAGTGCTCATATGAAAAGTACCTGTACATATAGTATAGAAGAAGAGAGAGATTGAAATTTGAAAATACAATGTATTGGGGATGCATCAAAAAGCAATTATATAAACTTATTCCAAGCCAAGTCCCTACCTCAAAACTTTATTAATGTCCTCTTCCTCATCTGCATGTAGCATCGCATCAATCAAGTTTCCACGTTTCAACTCCCTAAGAGTAAGGTGACCATTCTGAGATCTATTTATGTAGTAATATATTCTGTATATTACAGTTTCAGCTGGCCATGTGAAACAAAAGTTATGTTAACAAGTAACATCAGACAAAATGTGCAACATATTTGGCAGTAATAGAGGCAATCTAGACTTGCAAATAATTGAAAAACACAGTAGTAGTAGTTTATGCTAGTTGTTTGAGCGACAGTAAACAGCCTATACAATGGGTGAGAGCCCGGAATGTTAAGACAGATATTCTTTAAGCTGTAATGCATGACTTGGTGTAAGATAGTTTAGTTTCAGTCACAATATACACAATATATTTCCATGTAAACCCTCTCATATGCACGTTAAATTGTCAATAATCAGTCCCAAATATAATCAGAAAAATATATGGTTACTCAGGAATCTCGATTAAACTAAGAAAAGGATGAATTATTAGAACTTATGCAAATTCATCATCTTAAACCTACACATTTTATAAAATGGAAGCATAGCCATTGAAACTAAAGATTAGGACTGATGAGAACTACACCGCCGGAGGTAAGAATAACAAAAGCAGCACCTGAAGCTTCTCTCTAACCAAGGTGTTTTTCAAATTTCAAATATCCACGACCCAGGCGTCTTAGAAATTTTTTCTCCCCTCCGACATCCATCTGTTGTCCTCCGCTGCCGTCCGCCACCCGCCGTCGCCGTCAGACACCGTGCCGGCCGCCACGTCCGGTTGCTGTTGAACACCAAAACTTCCTGGTTTTTCGTCTCGACGCCAACATCCCGAATCTAGGCATCATTACGCCAGGGTGAGTCTACAACTCAGTGGATCTTGGACGGGGCCCTTCTACTAGTAGCTATTGGCGACGCATCTTCTTCTCCATCGAAGGTGTGAACTTTCACAGCAGTAAAGCCTTGCGGAAGCTCCCGCTTCTTCTTGGTTCAAGGCATTTTTGCTTTCTTCCATCATTTCATCTTTTCCATCGCCGTCCGTCGACGTTCATCATCGCCATCTGCCTCACGCCGTCCACTGTCGCCCGCCGCCTCACTCCGTCATCAGTTCACCGCCGTTTTTCCTCAGGAGGATCGTCGCCCCACTCTGATTCTTTTGTCGAGACTAGATTTTCAAGAAGGTCTTTTATTCGGCGTTGTTCTAAAAGCCTTGGTTTTCCGATTCACGCCGAAGTTCATCACCAATACATCTTCTTTCCACTGGGCTCGTCGTATTCTCGCGCTGATGGGCTCTATTCATCAACTCCACCCTTCTTTCTTCGCCGGCAATCACAGCCTTCACTTTCGCCGGGCGCGCAACTTGGATAGTTTCGTCCAGTCTCTGGTTTTTTAACTTCATAAATTATTCTTCATGTCAAGTGATGGAATCCCCCCTTCTCTCCAGCAGAGTTCTGCGATCCAAACTCCTTAATCCTCTGCGGCTGCACTTTCTCCGCCATCACACCCTCCTCATCAAGACGAGGTTCGTACTATCTTCATTATGGGTCTGCATGTTGATGTTAAAGAGAGAGAGCTGCAGAATCTTCTGAGATGGCTTCCAGGTTTTGAAGATTCTCAATTGAGTTTTAAGGGAGAAAAGCCTAAGGGTTTTGCTCTCTTCTCAATTGCAGAATTTGCAGTTGCTGCTAAGGATGCCCTTCAGAGAATGGTTTTTGATTCTAAGTTGAAGTCCCTTTTGCACATTGAGATGGCAAGGAAGAATCTTGTTAAAAGAGGTATTATTACTGATTCTGATGTTTCTGTCAAATATGGACGTTTTACTGTTCCTCCAGTACTGTCATCGCCAAATCCAGCTTGTGTAGCTTCTCCTAGTATTCATGTGCCTGTTAAAACTGGGTGTTGTGACGAAAAGTCTGTTGTAGATGGTTTCCTCGAGGGAACCAGGGAATCTACCACAAAGGAGTACAGTATTGACAAGTCTGGATGTTACTCATTATTTGTTGAAAATCTGTCTGAGAAGATCCATTGGAAGAGGTTTTGATCTTTATTTTGCTCCCATGGTCGAGTGCTCGATGCTTTTATTCCAAATAAATGAAATGCAAAAGGAGTTCGCTTCGGTTTCATTCACTTCGCTTCAATCCAAGAAGCAAGGAGAGCAACCTCTATAATGAATGGCTCTTTTATCGACGGCAGCAAAATTGGTGTTTCTTTCGCTAAATTCAAACCTCGTCGTTCCTATTGGAGAAAGTCTTCTACTGGTGTTCTCCACAAGTCCGGGATGGAAGATGATTCGAGGAAAAATCATTTTAAAGTTGAAGGTGTTATAGATGATGAAAAACTTCAGGTGTTGAGCAATTGTCTAGTGAGGTGGTGCAAAAACTTTATTAAAATCGGTCACCTCGCTAAACAAATGCATGCAAAGGGCCTCACTGGCTTCTCCTTAATGAGAGCTGCTGGAAATGCGGTATTAATGATTTTCGAAGACTCTGCTTCATTGAGAAGTGTGAAGAACGAGAAATCAGATACTCTCGCAGAGTGGTTCTCCTTAGTCGAAGCTTGGTCAGAGAGTTTGGTATTGAATTGTCGCCGAGTATGGTTAGTTTGCGAGGGTGTTCCGTTTCACGCATGGAATTGGGATACTTTCAAGAACATTGCTGATAGTTGGGGTCAATTACTAGCAATTGATGAAAGCTGTCAGTCTCCATCATCCTTTGATCGGGCAAAAATTCAAGTCCTCGCAAAGGCAGGCGCAAGAATTGATGCAACGTTGGAATTGAAGGTTGGTGACACCTCCTTCAAGATCATGGTGCATGAGATAGAGCCTTCATTCAAACCAAGCTCTTGGGCTCCTGAAGAAGACGAATCTCTCTAGATCTCGTCTTTCTATTTGTGGTTTGATTTAGTTTATATGGTTGCAGGTGTTGCTTTTCTTTTGTTGTATGTTTTGTTGCGTTGTTTTAATCCTTTTGTTGGAGGTGTAATTAGAGATAAGGTGATTAGTCTGTGACTTTGGATGAGGTTATATGAGGCTAAGGATTTTGTTGTAATGGTGTATTTCACCATAGGAGGTTATTACGTGTAATCTTTTGTATTGGGTATTATTATTAATAAACTTTGAGGTACTCTTTTCTTCCTTCCAATGTTCGTTAACATACTTCTTAGTATGTGAACGAATACGAAGGGAGTTTTTAATGAGACCTCCAACTTCTATCAAAAGAACTACACCGCCAATCTTTCTTACTAAAGATAAGTGACCAGCATGATAAACAAGAATATGAATCCTGTTTTCTATGCACCTTATTCCTCCATCAAGATTAGTGCAAATTTCAACACTAGCTCATCAAAGAACAAGTTTGCATTCCTACTTTAATAATATGCTATATCCATTTTATTAATAGTTTTTAACATAGCATTATAAACGATCAAACATATTATAAACAAAACTACTACATCAATGAACCAGGGTGAACTGCATTCGTAGAAATTCCCACAAAAATAGATGCATTTACAGGATTTGCAAGTTCAGATCATAGTGGTTCCAGCATTTAGTGTAGGAGTTAGTTTGGAAACAATTCATACAAAGTTCAAATACCTTAGATATTGTAAAAGGAGGGGGACATATAGAAAAGGTGAAAGAGCACCCAAAAATAAAAATAAAATGAGAGAACAGACAAAGGTATCAACCAAAAACAAACCGTATCTTTCCTGAAACTCAGGTGTACTCTGTAAGAATTCCAACCCTGGATGAGTAGCCAATAGTTCACGGAGCACAGGTTTGAAGTCATCCTATCAAATTCGTAAGTACGGAAGAAATTAAGTTTAAACATATACCATTAGACTATCAACAAATAATGTTGTTGTTTAAGCACTTGAAAATGTATAAAGACCTGAGTGAGGTATTTGAGCTCTGGTTGCTTTAATATTGTATATACTTGGGTTGCCATATCCATGGTCAGCATGTTGCCATTGACCCAATAATCAATAAATGCATCTCTGCAAGCAGTTTAGAGAAAAATATCAGTAAAAGCTACAATACAAAAAGGAAGAAAATGATATTACAGCTGAAAAGCAATTACAAGGAGAAGCGATGCCAAATTAGGAGTCAGATTCTAAAATAACATTTTCATCTATTTATCACTGTTAGTAACAATTTTATATTTAGAACACAGTACTCTTAAAAGGCTCAATGGGGAGAGCACCAAATTCTCATAATTTTCAAATAAATATCTTAGCAGTTAAAAGAATATGATGCATCTGAGATATAAATATAGCTTTTCCACTTCTATGAACAAGAAACTATACCTTGTAACCACACCAGTGCTATTAACATCAATTTTTCTGAAAAGTGATGGAGAGAAAAATGAAGGCAGCTTGCAGATTTCTTTGGTAACTAGTTTGAATTCTGAAATGTATAGAAAGTAAAAAATGAATATAAGACAAGTTCCAGAAATATATGTTAAAGCACACATGCATTTATCTTACCAAGCAGCTGCAGCCCATCCGGATGCCCATAGAAGAACTGATTGATTCGAAACATGCATTGTTCTTTTAGATCATTTAGAGGCGGACGGCCATTTTTGAAGTAAAACTGGAGGTGTTCTCAAATACAAATGTAACAAGTTAAAGCTGATTTCGGAATAGAAAGGAAAATACAGCAGAAAACACAACCAAGAAACCGAGAAAAGAAAACTATAATATCAAATAAACAAGATCCAAACCTGAGGTATGAACTCTTTCACAGGCTCGCTAACTACTTTCAGTGGAGACCCTAAGTTTGAAGGACCAGCCCTTTGTTTTGTTATACGAGGGGAACCAGATGCGCTTCTTGGTGAAAGGGGAGGAGCACTGCCAGCAGGAAACAAGGAAGGTAGAGCATTGCTTATTGATGTACTTCCAGAGGAAACATTTCCAGGAACATTCAAGGGATTACATGCCTTGGCATCATTAACCAATGACGTCACCTAGCAAAGTAAAAAATTAAACAAAAGTCAACTCCACCCCTAGGCTCAGAGGACATTTTAATAAATCACATTGATTCAAATATTTTGCTTCAAAGACAGGTTAACATTCCACATATAAATACAAAAGAGACTATTGGCATTCTCTCATTCAAGAATATACAAAAAAAAAAACTACTCTAGAATAGTGTTACAACTGTTAAGCCTCCAACATATAATCAATTTGCACATAGCATTACTGAACAAAGATATATGAAAAATCAACAATCGGAGGTCAAATATCCCTTTCACGTCAATTTAATCCACTAAATTACCTAATTCTACAATTGGAAATTAGAATTTGAAAAATTGGACTTGGATTTCGTTTGCTATGTAAATGATAAGAATGAAATGCATATATTGTGGATATACAATTAAGATTCAATATAATATATAGATGAAAAATACAAAAATATGGATTGATCAAACCCAAAAATAAATTAGTAATTCCAAAGTCATTATTGTATAGACGTTTAACAAATCCATAGATTGGAGAAATTATCATCAATGTTACATTTCTAAGTATTTTATTATAGTTCTAAAAAATGTATTTTATTACCCAATTTACAATATCTTTGAAATCCAAATTCTAAGATCAAGTTCCCAAAAGCTACCAATATTTATTCTTTAAAAAGGTCTACATAAATATCTACAATGAACTAAATAAACCATGAAAAGGCAATAACGATCAAATATAGTTTAATTATCATACGCTTAAATTAAATTTCTTTTTTTTAAATATTTTACCATCAAATAATCGAGCAAGGAACTGACTAGAAACACGCAAAGGCAATAACGATTAATCATTTTCAATTCAAGATATAAAGAAAACAAAACAAATCAAACACCAAGAGGATTCGAAAGTAGAAAAGCAAAAGTACCAGCTTGTAAGCATCGGGAAGAGAAAGCCACTGTTCGAAAAGCTTTTGCGTGAATTCGGGATTGGACTTGAGAACAAACGGAGACATCTCCTGGAGCTGCAATAGCTCCGGATCCAAACGCGCTATATCTCCAGCAGCAACTGCCTCCATTTTCTTTTCTTCGCATAACCAAACACAGTTAAAACAAAGTCTCCACACAGATCAAATGTAATGAGCTTTAAAAAGATAAAACCAACATATCTGAGCTCAGAAACTTATTTATAGTAAGTAATTGAAAATGTGAATGAGGAAGTTCGATTTTGAGCTGGGAAACAATTGAAAACCCTAGATCTCCATGGAAACAGGGAAACCGAAGTAGACGATTTTTCTTATTTTTTGGTTTTTTGTTTTTTTGACGTTATCAAGTGAGTGATTTGGGACGAAACAAAGTGATTTACAATTAAAAAGAAAAATCAAGACGTAGATAGATCGGGTAAGAAATTAGAAGTTTTGGAGTGACATCCGAGAAGAAAAACAAGAGCACAATCTTGATTTCTTTATTACTCGAAAGAAAAAGAGTACTGATTTTCTTGAGAAAAATTAAAGGATTAAACTACATATTCAGTACCTAAACTATTACTTTTATTCTATTTTAGTATTTAAATTGGCTAAAACTTCACATTTTTTCTCATTTAGGTACCTAAACAATTTTTCGATCAATTTACACATTTAACGTTATACATGTTATCATTTTAAGTGTTTTAATCGTAATGACCGTTATCAAAGTATGTTAAATGACATATGTTACATTTATAGAATTTTAAAAATTTTATTTAAAATAAAAAACTTAAAATTTTATTTTTATAAAAACCCTAAAATTATAAAAATGATAAAAAAAAACCCCAAAAAATCTAAAATCTCTAATTTCAATCCCTTTCCTTCGTTGACCTCCACCAACATTGCCGGCGAAAACCCCTTATTCCAACCCCGAACATTGTTGTTGAAATGAAAAATCTTAATACTTAGATCCCTACATATTAAAACTCAAATTTCAAACTGCTTGTTTGTGTTCATATGCGGGAATAAGGGTTCATACAAGAGGTTAGGGCTATAATCGTGAGCTATTTGAGATCAACTCGATCAAGGCTCGATTCGACTAGGCTCGTTTATACCCCTACAAGAGGTTTAGACGGGGGAATGACGCCAACGCCGTCCCTGCTGCATTCACATTATGTTTTTCAATTTGTAGTTCAAGTTGCGGGGAGAGGGAAAAAGACGCATGGGTGGGTGGGGGACGGGGGGAGGGGGTGCGCAGGTTGGTGGACGGGGGACATTTAGACTTTTTAAATGATTCTTTATAAAAATAATATTTTTATTTTAAAAATAAGAAACAACTTTTTAAAAAATATAAATGCGACACGTGTTATTTAATAGATTTTTTTAACGGTCGTTACGGCCGAGTCACTTAAAATGATAACGTTTGTAACGTTAAACACTTAGATTGATCGAAAAAATATTTTAGACATCTAAATGAGAAAAAGTGTATAATTTGAACACTTATTTTTATATAAAGCTTCTTAAAAACCGTACATGACGTTTAGTTTAGGTTTTAATTTGATACCTCGCCGTTGGAAAATTAATAGAACTGTCGACATGAAATTTTTTATTTTTTTAATGATGATGTAGTATTATCTTATGGTGACACGTTAACATCACTATTAAATTTTTAACGGCAAGATATTGAAATAAAACATAAACTAAATGTTATGGATAGTTTTGAAAAAAATAAAGATTGCATACCAAAATTGAATAAAAATACTAGTTTAGGTGTTAAACGTTTATTCTACCCAAAAATAAACTAAAATAAAAGTAAGCTTAACGTTTTATAACACAACTATCACTTTTATTCTATTTTAGTCACCCTATTTTTTTTAGTTTCAAATCTATCTAACGTTACGTCTTAGTTTTATTTTAGTCATCTACAATTAAAAAATTGACGGTGGTGTTAATATGTCATCATAAGGTAATATCACGATATCATTTTAAAAAATTTCATGTCAATAATTTTGTTATTTTTTTAACAACGGTGACCAAAATGAAATCAAAATATAACGTTAGGGATGATTTTAAAAAATAATTAGGTGACTAAAATGAAATAAATGTAATAATAGAAGTATTAAACGTGTAGTTTATTCTTAAAATAATTAAGGTGATCCACATGGCCATGTGGTGAACGACACCTCTTCAAGGATCAGGCTCTTTTGAGCAATCTCACCCAATAAATCTTGGTCTGTAATAATTTTTCAAAGCTTAATTATATTTGATGTACTCAATTTTTTTAAAAAGGGTAAAATACACAAATGGCCCCCTGATTATAAGGTGTTATTTTATTGAATCACTCAACTATTAAAATTTTTGAAATAGTTTATTGACTATAGGGCATTGCTTTGTTGAGTCCTTCAATTATTAAAAGTTACAAAATAGTCCTCTGGCTATTATATGTTCCAAACTCGTCCTTTTTTGTTAAAAATTGATGATAGTTTGAGCTAAATATTAAATTGCTAAGTATGATATGATAAAATATAATCTCAAAATCTTAAACGACTATCATATCTCGGTCAACATGTTAATATCCAACTCAGATTGTTATCAAGTTTTTAACAAAGAAGGATGAGTTTGGAACAAATGAATAATCGAGTGACTATTTTGTAACTTTTAATAGTCGAATGACTCAACAAAATAACGTCTATAGTTGGAGTGACTATTTTGTAACTTCTATTAGTCGAGGGAGTCAAAAAAGTAACACCCTATAATTGGGGACCATTTGTGTATTTTATCCAAAACTATTGCGACTTTGAATTTATTTATATCTTTTCTTTAACTAATCGAAAGTGACATTAATTATTATGATATTGTTATTATAATTTATGATATTAATTGTCACGATATTAATATAATAATATGTTAAAAAGATATGATTGATTTTAAAAATTAAAGAATTTAATTAGTTTATTTATAATTTAATTATTATTTATATCTCTTAAAATTATAATTACATTTACAGTTAATGCATATTCACAATTATACTCAAATTTACATTGAAATAAACTTAAACAAATATATAGAGTGATAAATTTAGACAATATCATATTATGAAACTTAAATAAAAAATTGAGTTTGATTTTATATATTATAAATATATTTAGAGTGAATTTGAATATTACAATTTAATTATATAAAATTAATTTTTTAATGGAATACGCTAGTTTTATTAGAAGATGAAATATCTAAAGTTATAATAAATGTTTACGATCATAATAATTATAAATGTAAACCAACCACATAACTAGGATATTTTCTTATGATCATTAACACAAAAACTATACACTTAAGATCACACAATGACTATACAAGGAAAAAAGTTAAAAACCTAATCAAAAACTAGAATAAAAGATAGATACGAACAGATCTGACTGCATCAATAAATTAATTGTAAAAGGGATAAAGCTACTGAAAGATCACCGACAAACAACAAATCATAATCGAGCGAAGTGAAAAACCTCTTCGCGAACACAAATCATGTATCTAAATCCAATTCGAGGGTTCAAAGCATGGAAGATAAACATGATAACAAATAAGCGCCATCTTGATCAGTTATGGTGATGTCAAATTTAACCCTGAGAAAAAAAAACTAAAATAACAGTCAAACAACCCAAAAGTGCCCGCGGATATAAACGTGCCATAAAAAAATAAAAAATTATCATAAAGACATTGTTATAAAAAACTATAAAACAAAAAAAATAAATAAATATGTTATATAAAAAATTAAAGGAAAAACTAGAAATATTGATCGCGACAACCAACACAAAAATTGGTTCGACAATCTATCAACCAAAAATGAAAAAAATAGTTAAAAGACTTTTAAGATTTTTTTAAATAACCTATGATAATTACAAGATAATATAATATAATTATTCAAATTCGAGACCTCAAAAAAATAATACTTCCTTTAACCATTGATGCCACTCAATTGACTCAATTCATTGTTTAAATTTATTTATATTATTTATTGTTTAAATTTTTAATGAATAAGAACTAAACATGAAAAATCTAAAACAAACAAGCTAAAAATAAAGGAATAAAAACAAACCAATATCTATTCATTCCACATCCTAAAAATAAAAATAAAATATATTTTTTTATTATTTTCCGAAAATATTTAACATTTTTTTAAATATAAAAAAAACCTGGATAAAAATTCTTACTTTCTCTTCATTAACTCTACAACAACACAGCTTGACAGCCAGTAAGATGATTATATAAAATATGATATTCCAACAAAAAATATATGGAATTTAGCGGCGGCGGCGACACCCCATAATGCATCCAAGAAATACGTTTCGATCGACATGGGAATGCGAGGACCATACCGAGAAGAAGTGCTCTCTCTTACCAAATGAAACGTTCACACCTTCCTCTTCTCCAGAAACCTCGAACGGAGCTCGGTGCTTTGGTTCTGATTCTGATCTCCACGGACACCTTTTGAGGACGTAACTCGGGAGAGAGATGATTTTTGCTCGGACCCTGAATGGAGTCTCTGGCTCATGGAGAGGCGACTGCTACCTGAAAGAAGCCAACTTGATCGACTATCGCTGGGCCCTAAAGAAGAGGTCAGCCTGCTGCTGCTCGATGCAACAGCCCTCTTGGACATGCTGCTAGGGCGGTTAGAAGAAGTTCGTGCCTTTCCAGAGTCATTATCCTGGAAAACCATGATCGAACTTCACATTAGCCTTCGGGATAAAACATGAACTCTACATGCATCCTCGTATCCAAAGACATGGACAGACATATCGAACGTATTCCATGAAATAGATCCAGATCCATATAGGAAAGAAGCAAGAAAACGATAACCGAGTGTAAATACAACAAATTTTTTGGCAGTCTGATGCCTACCATATCCTTTGATGGTGATGCCTTCTCTGATACCTTCTGTTTGAGATGTCCACTGCCTGAAGCATTTTTCCTAGTAAATGCCTCAGCAGCGCCTGAAACTCTATCCCGGGTTTCTCGTGCTACAGTAAAACACATGGAAGGAAAAGAGGGGAAAATCCATTAACATTCACTTAACACAAAGGGAAAACTTTTTTTCTTTCATGAAGTAACAGCCCTGAAACATGTCGAATCACTTGGCTGTAAAATGGCAAGGTTAAGTACCCGAGCCTCGAGCATGATAATTGCAATTGAGAATTGTATCGAGAAGGAATTCTAGAAAACTATGGAAATCAGAAATCCAAATGCACCCTAAGCATTCTAAACATTTTAATCACACAACACAACTGAATATCCCCCTCCTGACAACCTATCCAGAGAACGGATCATACCTGATGGCTTCTTTGTTCTTTCAGCAGATGTTCCAATGTTTGCAACAACT